TAAAAAAAAAAAAAAAAAAAAGAAAACATTCAGCCTCTATCTTTTCAGCTTGTAAAACAAAGCCCATATTAATAAAAACCATTCCTTCGCAGTGGATATTTTCATGTGGAAAGTCCTTCTACAAAATGATCCTCATTGTATCTAAATCAAAACTCCGAACTGCACTCATCACTATGCTCTGGCTGTGGGCTCTGCCCTTCTTTGGGAATGTGTCATTGACTACTTGACCCTCTTATTCTCTATAAACATTGATTTCCTCTCTGTGTTACCTAAGTGGAGGCTATGATTGTTAAAGCTCCTTGTGGTCTAAATTCTGCCTATAGGATAAAAGGACCACCAAGAGGTGTGTGCCCACATTCAGGCCATTGGTACAAGAGGGGTGCAGGCGTGGGGTAATCTGTAAAGCCGCTTCATGATTTATGGCACGTGTGAACAATCTGAGATTTGAATGGTCCCACCTCTCTCTAGCTACCCTGTTCATTTTAGAATCAGTATTTCAGGGGCACCTCGGTGGCTCAGTCGGTTAAGCGTCCGACTTCGGCTCAGGTCAGGTCATGATCTCACGGTTCGTGGGTTTGAGCCCCGCATCGGGCTCTGTGCTGACAGCTAGCTCAGAGCCTGGAGACTGCTTCCGATTCTGTGTCTCCCTCTCTCTCTGACCCTCTCCTGTTCACGCTGTCTCTCTCTTTCAGAAATAAATGAAAAATATTTTTAAAAAATTTTTAAAAATCAGTATTTCATATAATACCTTGATATATATATACTAGATGCCTTTTTTTATATGTTAAAGCTTTTAAGAAATATAGCAAAAGATTAACATTGAATTAACAAGGCTAGAGGCTGAATTACAGAAGAATATTTATATAGTGTATTTAGTTTTAAAAAATGAAATACAAATTTCACAAGTAATATGCTGCCTAGGTAAAGGGGGCTTTTACCGTTTCTCTTTGAAGCTTCTCCTACCCCATGTGCTTCTCCCTCAATCTCATCCTCTTCCCTCCCTACTATCCTGAATTTTGTGTTTAGCATTCTGTTGCTTTTTTTTTTTTTTTTAAGTTTTTTAAAATGTTTATTTATTTTGAGGGAAAGACTCCCTTTGGAGTGAGTGCACAAGCGAGGGAGGAGCAAAGAGAGAGGAGAGGGAGAGAATCCCAAGCAGGATCTACACATGGACCCCGAGGCAGGGCTCAGTCTCACCACTGCGAGATCGTGACCAGAGCCGAAATCAAGAATCAGACACTTAACCGACTGGGCCACACAGGGTCCCTCATTCTGTTGCTTTCTGTAGTTCTCACACATGTAGCTCAACATATTTTCATTAATGCACAAAGGGTCTCTGTATTTGATCTGGCACAGATCAGATATTAAAGTACTGTTGTAGAAGTAAAATAAAATAAAGTACTGTTGTAGGATTTCAGGGACATTTGGAGGTCACATTTACCAAGCATTGATTGCAAGACATTGTAAAATTAAGAAAATAATTCCAGCTTTTGTCTTTTAAACCTTTACACTACGGTATAAAATTATATAAAAGCAGGACTTTTTAAAAATCCTTAAAAGGAACTATCTAACCTATAGGGGAAGTCTTTCTCCAGAGTGTTCTTATTGCTAATGTATTCAAAAATAAATATAACTTCGTTGTTATCTAACATTGAAATTCTTTATTTTGTTTTCTAGGAAACTCTTGAAGAAAAGTTTTCAGAAGCTCATCCCATGTCTTTGAATTTCATGAAGGTACTTAAGAATCAATTATAACCATTATTGGCTGTTAATTGGCTGATAACTCTGGGAAGGGTTGATGATAGGACAAATAATGCCAAGGTAGAATTAATCATTGAAAATAATAAGGAACTATAAAAGAATTATAGTTGAAGGAACATCAGTAGTTGAAGCCGTAATGTTTCTAACATATCCATTAAAACTAGTTGAAGACAAAAGCGTATAATTAGTGTTTGCTGTGATGAACACCATTACTTCTTTCACATTTATTAAGAAATTTTACTGGTAAGTCAATATATTCAGACTATAGAGATTTATGAGGATGAATGTACTCCTTAAGTTTGAAGGTCTAGAACTGTACTGTCCAATATGGTAGTCACCAGCTACATATTACTACTGAGCACTTGAAATATGGCTAATTAGAATGAAGATGTACTAGATTTCTATGAAAATAACTATACAATAATATTAAATATTTCCTTAAGAAGTTTTAGGATATTAATTACATGTTGAACTGATTATGTTTTAGATACATTGGGTTAAATAAAATTTAAAATCATTTAAAAAAAATTAGTAGACCAGGAAAACTCAGAAGACCTGCAGATACCAGATACAGCCCCTACACTAGGCCCAAAGGAAGTAGTCAAACAAGGATGAATTCTAGTAAAAAGCAGAAGAAATTCATCCATTACTAGTCTGCCATTCATGCTTGACCAACTGATCCGTGCTAGAGGGTGTGACTCTTCCATCCACCATTGATACTAAAAGCTCTTAGTGGGATACAGATGGAGATATCAGTAAGAATATCTATCTTTAACAACCAATTAAATTCTATCTATAGCAGTGGCTTCCATACTATTCATCAGAATGACTACTCATCAGAATGAGCGTTTTAAAAATATACATTCCAGTATCTAACCTCAGATTTACCAAAGTAGAATCTCTATGAATAGGGCCTTGGAATTTGTATCTTTAAACATCCCCCTAGGTGATTATGATTTAGAGCCTAGCTTGGAAATCATCTGATCTAGAAGGTGGAACCATCTGGATGGCCTAGCATCCACCTTGTAGACTAGCCGTTGTGTTAGTGTTGCTCACTGCCAAGATGCTATCCAGGGTGCTGGATTCCTCTGGTCTGAGCCCTCCTGAGAGCCTGACACCTCAGACTTGCCCTTACTGCTGCTTCACTGGCCCTCAGCTTTCCTGCTGTCTGTCTCGCTGCTCTGACCTGCTTTAATTCAGCTCTCCCCAAGCCCTGTCCTAGAAGTCCAGTTCCCCAGCCTTGTTCTGGACAGGTTGTTCTGTAATTTAGCAGAATCTGCAGTTTAGCAAAACCTCCTGCAGGGAGGGTGTCTGTCAAGCACTGCAAACCCAACCCATTCTGAGGTACAGGCCAAGCCTTGTTCTGGTTACTTCTCTAACCAGAGAGAAAACATTAGTTGCCCTGCAACTCCAGGGCAGAAAAACTTCCAAGGTATAGGACAGATCCCTGTCCTCAGCTCCAAAGTTGAAGTACCCTGTTGCCCTGTCCAAGATTCTGGATGACACTAGTTTTGTCACTCAGCCATTTGATTTATACCTGTAATGTCTGACCCAAGACCCAAGGATTCTCTAAGTGCATCAAGGATTGTGCTGTTCCGTGGGTCACACCCTATCCCCTAGACTCCTGCCCCAGGTCAGATGAAGGAAGGCTTTCTCTCGCTAACTGCAATGGAGACATCTTTAACAACAAATAAATACCAGCTGCTGTAACAAGTCGTCATCCCATGGAACGAGGCCATCATCTCTGCAGGCAGCTGCTCAAATGGATGAAGTGCCAGCCAAGGACTGTGCTGAAGTCAGTGGTGGCCTGTAGTGGCCAATCTATGGCAGAGTTCTTGTGTTCCCTTCATTATGAGAGACAACAGACACCGTATTATTTATTTCTCAGTTGCTTGCACGGGCATAACATAACATCCTGTCACTCTATCGGCTTAATTTGGTCAAAGAAGAAGTCTGTCGACTCTTGGAAACATTTTTAAGGGTTTTCTGTGAAACGTGAAGTTTCAAGAAAAGGATCCCAACATGTACTTTGCCGTTCCAGTTTCTCATCCCTCATCTTTAAAACCTCTCCCAGGTTGGGAACACTCTGATCAGGGAACACTTCTGAGAACTCATCAGCCTCTTGGTGTATAGAAAGTTGTTAACCTAGGCAGTCAACAACTCAGAAGCCTCAACTCTGCCCAGTTCATTGCACTGCTCCTAAAACTAACGAGACATTGTTCTAGCCCAGGCCCCACAGAACAATTCAGCATTAACAGCCTCATCTTAGAATCTAAAAATATTTTGTAAAGTAAAAGCCCTAAGGTATTTAGTAGACCAGATTTCAACAGATTGAAAGCCCACTAAAGAAAATGAATGAATTTAACAAATGATTGGAAGTAAAACTGGTAGGACTCAATTACGATTCAGATCTGGGGGCAAATCGAGTAGAGGGTGGCAAACATGAGCTATCTGTACCCAGTACAGGACTGTCCTCGGACTGTTGTAACCAAGCACCACAAGCTGGGTGGCCGCAAGCAACAGAAATGTATTCTTACAATTCTGGAGCCTGGAAGTCTCAAACCAAGATGTTGACAGGGCCATGCTCCTTCTGAAGGTTTCATCGTGGATTGTTCCTGGCCTCTACTGGCTTCTGGTAGCCCCAGACTTCTTGAGCTTATGACAGCAGAACTCCATTCTTTGCCTCTGTCTTCTGGTGTTTTCTCTATGTCTGTCTTTGTATTGTCCTGCCTCTTACAAGAACACCATTCCCTTGTATTAAGGCCCACCCTATTCCAGTATGACCTCATCTTAACTATTTACATTTGCAAAGACCCTATTTCCAAGTAAGGTCACACGATGAGGTACTGAAGGGTTAGGACTTCAACATAGTTTGGGGGGACACAACTCAACCCATAGCAGTGCCCTTGAGATAAATCAGAAATGTTAAGTAGGCCATTGCATATGTGGGTCTGGAGTTCAAAGGAGAGGCCTGGACCAGAACTATACATGTGGAAGTCTCTGGTAAGCCTTAATAATTGAAGCCATTAAGTATCAGCTAGAAACAGATAAAGGGACAGGAGAGAATTAAGGAGTTCCATCTACCCATTGCAGAGAAGAAGGTAAATCAACACAGGTTGGTTTGAACGGTGGAGGTCATGAGGTAGGAGGAAGGAAAGGGAGGCATCAGAGAAGCCAAAGGGAGTTTTGAGGAGGAGGATATGGTCAGTAGTGTCTAACACCGTAGAGATGAGAACACAATCTACCTATTGGATTTAAGGACACACAAGTGTAGATAGAGATCATAGGTGTGAATAACAAGAGCCACTTAAGTGGAATGGTGGAGGCAAATGCCAGAATGAAGTGAGAAAGGAATAGAGACTCCCACAGTGTACATTCAAAGCTGTCTTTCTGTGGTGGTTATAGGCCTGACAGTGTAGGATTAGAGGAGACAGACTCCCAGGAGTAGCTCAACTTACTTACGGCATGGATCATTAACCTGGGCCTGGGGTAGGGGGAGGGGATCTACTTGGAGCGGGTGGTGGCTGTGGAGGGACAGGAGAATCTAAGTATGCCAAGCAGGGTTGTTTCTTAAAACCAGGTCCAATCAAAATGGCTCAGAAGGGCACTTGAGACTGTAGGGGTGGGTGGCATTTGCAGGGATCTCAGAGACCTGAGGTCAGCTGCGGTTAGAGAGGAACAGATACCACAAAGCAGCCCAGGCTGGGGCAGCCTCAGTCAATGCAGCTATGCCTCAAAACTAAGTCTGTTGTGTTGATAAATTTTACTTCCCTAGGACGGTCCTAAGGCAAGAAATTTTAGGTGTCCTGTGCCTACGTGATCTGATGCTGCTCTAGTTCTTCATGGATCATGATCTGTCTTTCTTCATGGGAAAAACCACATTCTCTGGCCAAAGAGTATCACGGCTTTTTGAAGGAAACCTTTGTGTCAGGATTCTACTAACCCCACGGCTACCAGAATCCTTCCCATTCTTTGAGGCAAAGCTAGAGGCTTCTAGTAGCCTCTAATATAAAGAGTGATGATGCTACATTTTCCTTTTTGCCTCTAGTTATTCCTATATGAATATATATATACCAACTGTCCAGATTTTAGATTTGTTTCATTACTAAGACTAATACTTTAGCCGTCCCCCTAAACCAATGGTTCTCAAACTTGAGCAGGTATCAGAATCACCCAGAGGGCCTATCAAATGCAGATGGCTAGCCCCCACCCCCAGTGCGTTTGATTCAGCAGGAACTGCATTTATAAGTTCCCACATAACACGGATGCAGCTGGTCCCGGGGTCACACTCGGGATCGCCCTTGATGTGTCTCACGAACTATTTGCCTTCACAAGTGATGAAGAGATGTCATTGGTAGAAACACCTGATCTACTTGTCGCCCCCTCCCTTCCAGAGACACCGTCAAAAGACTGAAATGACCAAAGAAAAGCAATTCTAGTTATTAACAGGTTTCGAGTACTTGATAATACACAAACTTGAAGATTTTGTAAACTCATATTTGCTCTTAAACAAGTTATTCAGTTTAGGGGCATACTAACAAAATAATAACAAAATTTCAATACCTTTTTTCTTTTCTTCCCAAGGAGTGTCTGAAGATGAATCCTGATGACAGATTAACCTGTGCCCAACTCCTGGAGAGCCCCTACTTTGATTCTTTTCGAGAAGACCAAATTAAAAGAAAAGCACGCAATGAAGGAAGAAACAGAAGACGTCAGCAGGTACTTCTGTTCCAAAGTTAAAGTGCTATAAAAAGTATTCTTTTTTTCCTTTTCTACCTTTCACAGTGAGACTAGGTGGACACCAAGACCTTTGTTTGCACGGAGTTAGTTGTATTTGTTTATCTTAGTAAATTTCAGTGATTGACGCAATAAAACCATAAAACTACGAGAACATCCAGATCGTTGCAAAATCTTATTCCGAATACACTTGAATCAACTTTTTGCTACACTGATTGGATAGCTTACCTGCCAGATCGTGTACCTGAAATCCAGCAACCCCGTACAATAAAACCCAGATTACAGCAGGACTGAATTTGAACATTGCAGAGGAATCTGTAACCTTCCATAGCCTCCAGACACGCCATAAAGGAAACCTGACTCTTGCTGCCTTAATGGCAGGTAGTTAAGTCCGCCTTCCCTAGGCCTTCCCTCAAAATCAAGGACAAACTCTGGCAGATACTAGGAGATGAAACGCAAACACCTGGGAAACAAATTTTATCATAAATGTGCCAATATTGTAAAATCACATGATGAATGTGACAGACAATGATTCTGCACCTTATTAGGTGACCACCCTTTACTTGGTTCCAGAAAAACCTTGAAGTTAAAACATAAACCCCACGGAACTAAGTTTGTTTTGGTTTGGGGTTTATGTTTCATCTTGTGTCTGTAGCGCCTAAAACGGCATCTGACCCATACAAAGTACTTGGTAGATACTATCCAAATAAATAAATAAATAGGTGAGCATTGCTTATTAATAAACGAGGATGTAATTTTCAATTTACCAGACTGACAGTCATCCCATTCTGTGTCCACTTAATCTTCCACCTTTGATCCATGATGAAGGTCATTGATCTTCTCCGTAGCGTGTCTGTCGTAAAGGGAGAAAGCAGGTTTCGTTGTTTTCAGTCTTTTGCTCGTTAAAACTGAAGTTCGTTGAGAGAGAAAAATCAAGCCAATCAGTAAGATGACATGTTAAGATGATTTCCCAGTTTTTATTAGATAGACCATTTCACCTTTTGCTATTTAAGTTATGTGTTTGCAAGTCAAGCCCAATACACTTTACTTAACCCAAAGAGTAAGGTTTGCTCAAATATGACTGAGGCAGCAGTTTGAAATACAGGGTGAACTGTGTGTAAAAACACTGCCGCCTTAAAGACATCTCACCAGATTTCCCACGCTTAACCTGGGACGGTGACCAGCAGCAGAGCTCCATCCTGCCCCTTCATTCCAGATTCAGGTTCTACCACACCCGCCTCGAGGGGGTGTGGACGGCGGCCTCCGAAGTCTCCAGGTCACAGTGTTTCCCGTTCCTTCATACCCTGTAGCCCAGCTGAGGGGCTCAGGGGCTTCGTTTCTCCTCAAGGAGCAAAAGCACAGAGAACAGCATTTACAGAACTTACTTCACATGCTCTGTCTTTAGTCCACCGCGCCCTGTCCCACTTGATGAGAAAGGCCTTTCTAGAGCACCCGCCATTGAGACCAAGCCTAAACAGCTCTCACCACCAGGTAAAGTCTCCGGATAGCAAGGCCAAGAGAAAGACAGGAATGTCTTTCTTTCTTTCTTTCTTCCTTTTTAAAAAATACTTATTTATTTCAAGAGAGAGAGACAGCATGAGCAGAGGAGGGACAGAGAGAGACACAGAATCCGAAGCATCTCCAGGCTCTGAGCGGTCAGCACAGAGCCCAACGAGAGTGGGGGGTGGCACTCGACTCACAAACCAGAAGATCATGACCTGAGCCGAAGTCAGATGCTTAACCGGCTGAGCCACCCAGGCGCCCCGACACGGATGTCTTTCATGTTCTGGTTTTCTTTCTGATATGCACCTCTTCCCTAAACATTTTACCATATCAGAAAATAAACTAAAACTTCAAGAAAATCTTTTCACTCAGCATGATTTCACTTTGTGAGTTCAAATTCCTATCTGGATACCATCTAGAGCTCTGATCAGTGACCAGAAATTTCCTTAAAGACTAAATATTGTCTAAAATTTATAGTATGGGGTGCCGTGGTGCCTCAGTGGATTAAGCATCTGACTTCAGCTCAGATCATGATCTCATAGTTCATGGGTTCGAGCCCCACATCAGGCTCTGTGCTGATAGCTCAGAGCCTAGAGCCTGCTTTGAATTCTGTGTCTCCCTCTCTCTCTCAAATAATAAATAAACATTAAAATTTTTTTCAACTTATAGGAAAGAGTTTTTAAATCTTTACTGTTTTGCCAGTATCCTAAAGTTAAAAATGTGAGATAGGTAGAATGCAGACTCTTGGAATTATTGTCTAACAGCTGTTGGGCATCTAGCTTTTAAACACTGCCTGGATACTCAAAAATGAACATCCCGAAACAAATCAACTACCTCCATGAGAATCCTAGACTAAGTAATGAAACCTGATTTCCAAGCATCAGAATTTCACAATTTTCGGAAAGGTAACCCTATTTGATTTTAAAATTGATGTCTTTTGACATCTTTGTACCATGTATATCCTTTCTGTTTTACCATCTTTAAATCAAACTGTACAAGGAGGAATTCTTTTCAATTTACTTTCTTATTTTTGTCTTGTTCTGCTATTAGAATCAACTGTTGCCTCTCATACCAGGAAGCCACATCTCCCCCACACCTGATGGAAGAAAACAAGTCCTCCAGTTAAAATTTGATCATCTTCCAAACATTTAGGAAAATGTTCTTTCAAGTGGAATGTAATTTAATACGTACACATTTTTGTACAAGAGAGATAGGAGTTCTCAGTGTTTCAAATGCAAATGAGCCATATGAAAATTAAGAACCTTCTAGAATTGTTTTGCTCTGATCATTACTGATTCCTCTGCCTGTGCTTTTTACATGCCAACTTTATCTTTCAGAACATTCCCTTTAAATGTTATAGAGTCTGAAACTGCACATATGGAGGAGACATTTTCAATTGCATCAGAGCAGCCCCTTCAGAGGCAATCAAGGTTGAGAATTTGAGGGCTTGTGCTTTGATTCCTGAAAGAGATTTACATATGTCATTTCGGTTTACCTGACCACATGCTGTCTCAGAGCGTTATCCAGATAGCTTGCCTTGCTGTTGTTTGTGTAAGGAATGACATCATGTTTCTTTTTTTCTCTTTTTTTTCAATTTTTAAAACTACCTTTAATGAGTTATGTTCTACATATAATAAACGTACTTATGTTAAGTGCCGAACTTTTCCTTGGATTTCAGCAAAAGTATACACATGCACAGCCTGACCAAAGGCAGATATAAAACATGGTCATCAAACTCAAAATGTTCTCCACTGCCTTTTGTAGCAAGTCTTCCCAAGATCACTGGCCCCAGACAGCCATGCATCTGCTTTTTCTGTCACTATTGATTAGTTTTTCCTATTTTGGGATTTGAAATTAATGGAATCATAAAATCTATAGTCTTCTGTGTCTGACGACATATGCTCAGCATGATGGTTTGAGAAAGAAATGACATTATGTTTCTGCATTTAATTCACTCTTATTGTAACCGGGACTTTTGAGTAATCTGGGATTTTATATTGGCGCAGGAAGGGAGCCTGAGATGTCATGTAGGTTTATGCCTTGATTCCAGGGCAGACTGCAGAGCTCCAAGGAATGACCGTGCTTATTACCTAATGCCGTCCTTCAGTACATTATGGTTTCTTACTCGTTTCTCCTGGCTCAGCCATCTCCATACCCAGACTTATCCCATTGGGTGTGTTTCCTAGATAGTTCACTGTCGACTCTTTTCCAAACATTTGCCTCTGTGAATTTGTACAGCCCTAAACTTGTGTATCATGGTTGTAAATGCTTCCAGTAACAGAAAGATCATCTCTCAGTTAACTTCATTTTGTGTCTCCTAGCAAAAAAAAGAAGCAAACAAACAAGACACCTCAATAGTCAAGCCCAAATTATACTGGGATATTTTCCCAAGTGAACTTGAGAGATATGCCTACATGCATACATATGTATATACATATGTGTATGTGTGTGTGTGTGTATATATATATATATTTATACACTTATATATAACATATCTGTACACACACACATAACACACATATATATTTATAGGTTTTGAAACATCATGGTAGATGCCTTTTATCCTAGACATCTAAGAAGGATGCAGTCTGTTTAAAGGACTTTTAGTTTGCTAACAAGGAACTCATATAAAATAATAGCATAGGGTTGTCTATCACTATCTGGCATAAAGGCACAAAGTAGTGATGTTTCAATAAATCATTAAGGTTATTAACTCTTTTCTGCTCCTGGGTCTGGAATGCTGACCTGAACATTGTCAAATTTTGCCAATACACATAATTCCAGAAATGCCTTTTGGTATCAGGCACCAAAATATCAAGCATAAATTGTTTTTAGGAAAACACACTAACACCTTCTGTTCATCCTCTAAAAGTTTATTGCACTTGTAAACTTCTAGAGAATCTTGTTGAATTACTTGGGGGCATCTCTTTACTTGCGAATTATGGCATCTAAACAATGGTTTCTTTCTCACTGGAAGGACATTTTAAATGGGCTTATTTGGCCATGCAACATGTTTAGAGTGAATATAAGCTGCTAAGGCCTTCTTACTGTCATCTTAATATCAAGAAGTTGCCTCCTTCAGATTTGTGTGTTTTTTGCATTTTTAGTTAGATGATTATACCATAGGCACAAGGAATTTGAGAAATAAATAAAAGATACAAGGCAACTTTGAAAGTTTTGAAAGCTGAAAGATTTCCTTTTAATTTTCATAGTGTTTTTATCATGTAAGCCTTCTTATTGCCAAGACACCCATCCTGCTTCAGCTTTTCTAAACATCTAGATTCCATCACACACACACACACACACACACACACACACACACACACACACACACTCAAAAGTTCCAAATACATGCAACTCCCATACCCATTTTGCTTATAATCATGCTTTAGACAATAATGGAGAGTTTGATAAGGGTTGAAAGGGTGATAGTCTTTTCTTATTTTTGCTTACATTTAAATTTAAGAATTAATGCAAACTGGCATTTGTCTCTCTCGGTTTTTTTCCTTGGACAATCCATCATTTAGAGATCACTGGGGCAGGGAGAGGAGAAAGCACCTAATGCTCGGGGAAATGTTCTGTGGCAGTCCTTTCACCAGGAGGGAAAACCCTCTTCTGATGACATTTGCACGCTGCACTTTCCCTGGGCGACCCGGGGCCACCTAGTGCTGTCGGCCGGCTCAATCACGCAGGCGCACAGACCTCAACCTGCAACTCTTTTTGTTTCAAGGGCGGGTTTCTCACTCCAGTGCTACACGTCCTCCCTTGCATTTCTCAGCCGCATGTAAGACGGCTGCACTTCAGGGTCTAGTGCCCAAATTCAGTAATGAGTTTTTGTAAAGCTTAACCAGGCTCTTCACAGAAACCCACACGACTCTGTAACCAGGCGCTTTCTTCCTATCCTTGTCCAGTGTCCGGCTCACCCACCGCTTCTCTCAGCCGCGGCACCACCGGTCAGGCTTCTTAATTTATGTATGTAGCTCCCTCCCGGTGCCATAAGTACCCTGCAGTCATAGTCAGTGATGCTGCCTGAGTACTCTTTTCCTCCACCTCCGGGTGACCGGTTTACACCCCTGTTTCCTCCACTTTGTACCTGAGAATCTCCAAGCAGCCAAGCAGTTCTTTGTGTTTTGTTTTGTTTTTAAATTTTTTAATGGTTTTCATTTCTTTCTGAGAGAGAGACAGCATGAGCAGGGGAGGGTCAGAGAGAGAGGGAGACAAGAATCTGAAGCAGGCTCCAGGCTCTGAGCCGTCAGCACAGAACCCGATGCGGGGCTCGAACCCATGAACCGTGAGATCATGACCTGAGCCGAAGTCAGACACTTAACTGACTGAGCCACCCAGACGCCCCTGTTTTGTTTTGTTTTGTTTGAAGAGCACTTTACAGAGAACTAAAAATACAGACTTTACTCCTGCCTGCTCCCGCTGTTTCTTCAGGGAATAAAGAAATATACCACAGAAAAGGACATCTCATAGACCTTTATCAGCCCTGTAAGGCTACCTGCTTGAATTTTGCCTTTGGTCTCTATTTCAGTCCTGGTGATATTTGAATACACTTGTTCCAACTTGCCCCAAAGGCAAAGCTCTTTTTTTTGGGGGGGGGGGGGGGGCGTGTCATTTTGTGAAGATTATTTAAACTAGATTGAATTATTAAAAAGTTGTACTTGAGGGGCCCCTGAGTGACTCAGTCAACCAACTTCAGTTCAGGTCATGATCTCAGTTTGGTTTGTGGGTTTAAGCCCCGAGTTGGGCTCTGTGCTGACAGCTCAGAGCCTGGAGCCTACTTTGGATTCTGTGTGTCCTCTCTCTGCCCCTCCCCTGTTGACTCTCCCTCTCCTCCCCCCTCCTCAAAAATAAACATTAAAAATCTTTTTAAGTTGTATTTGAGAGGCTTTTGAATGCTTTGGAGTAGGGAGATAATTGAGTAAGGGGCAAAAACAAAGCTCTAGGGCAGGAAAGAAAAAAGTGGGCAGAATAGATGTTCCCTCTCATAAGTTAGCCGTATCACTGTTCTCCATTGCTCTTGCAGATCTCCCAAACTACAAGACTAAGAAAATTAATACATTATTTTGAAAAAAATTCTCAACTCCAAAGCTGTTTTTATGGTTCTTCAGCTTCCTTGCCATAGAATTGCTGTTTTTCAAAAAAGAGAGCACTTTCTTTGTCACTTGTCACCACTAATGATTTCCAATCCTGGGTTTGGATGGCACAGAATTCTGAAAAAAAAAAAAAAAACAACCAAAGAAAACAGCAACAACAGCAAATCCCCCCCAGCTTTTTGGTTTAATTAAAACATACTACTGAAAGAGGAATGTTCCTAATATTCCACAAACCTTAAAATCTTGAAAAAATTGGGGAGTCAGTATAAGGTATGAGCTGAATTGCAGATTCAGATTTGTAATGCATAGGTATGCATTATGTACAAATCTACAGATTTGTGATGCATGTAACTAAGAAAGAGAAAATGCCTCTCACATGATAAGGTAATGTGCTGGGTTTGTATGTGTTTGTCTTCTATTAAAACCATGAATTCAGGAACTTCATTCTAGGTCTAGTAGAAGACCAAGTCTTTAAGAGCGATAGGTTTAAAAACTCATTGAATTACCACGCAGTCTGGGAGTTAGAACACCAGGTTCTTGGCCTGGCTTGCAAATCTCTGTGTAGCCGCATCACGGCATGTAACTTTTCTGTGCCTTCATTTTCTCATTTGTAAATAAGAGAACAGATAAGCTAGATGATTTCTAGGGCTCCTGTGACTCTCGATAGCACATGGTGTTTCTGTGCTGGACATCTCTCCCATGAGAAGAGGCTTTCTAGAGATTGTTTCTCATTAGTAATACTGAGATCACATTTGGGGTTTTTTAAAAATATTTATTTTCTGGGAGAGTGCGGGGGGAGAGGGTCAGAGAGAGGGCGGCAGGATCTGAAGCGGGCTTTGTGCTGACAGGCATACAGCAGATAACTGATGCGGGGTTTGAACTCACGAACCATGAGATCATGACCTGAGCCGAAGTCGGACATTCAATTAACTAAGCCACCCAGGCGCCCCTAAATTTTGGGTTTTTTGATCTAACCTGGAGCTAGGAGATCTCTCTCTGTCTCTCCCTCTCCTCCTCCCCCTACCTCATCTCTCCCTCACTTGCTTGCTTTCACACACACACACACACACACACACACACCACCACCACCACCACCACCACTCCCTGCTAGTTCTACGAAGTCAATAGTAGTTTGCAGACAACCATCTCACAGAGGTTACATTTTATAAACTAAAGTGGATTTTAAAGCTAATTATCGCTAAATTTTAATTAATGTAAACAGAACAGGTGTACTTTGAAAATACAGGGTAATATGTAATCATTCTTTGATGGTTTAATCTAGCTTGGAAATAACACCTATGCTGTGAAATATTAATTTAAGATACCCATTAAGGCCAAGAACTCTTAGGGCATTTCTAGCTTCAGCAAAACTTTTAGTACCCTCAGTAGATGAAAACTTAAAGGAATTCTGTAAATATATCTAAATTATAATGGTGTTATATTTAAGCAGCACAGACTTCATATTTGGGCTACTTTATATTTAACCTGTAATTTACTCAAGGTGAGAATCAGTTATCCTACTTAACAGGAGTATAAACACCTTGTATTTATAAAGTTAAAATTTGTCTTTTCTGTTGTGAACACTAGTCACTGGCCATATCTGTCCATATTGTCACGTTGAAGATGTTGTGTCTACCTATGATTTTAGAACATAATAGTACGGAAGCAGATCTCTTTCAAATCACATGAAATCGTAG